GTGAACGTCATTCTACAGAACTTTGGTGAGCCCATTCTTATCCTTATTTTCATAAGCATAATACAATCCTATAAAGTTGATTTATGTGATCCTATGGGAGAGTGTCCCTCATTGATTGTTGTGAGGAGCTTTTTTTTTGCTTTATTAACAATTACCTTTCTAGTGGTATGTGTTGCTGTAATTACTATGTTTTCCAATTCCTGATTTGCTACCATCTCCTTTTTGTGCTTGTTAGGTCACATATTTGCACTCTATCTGGATATCATGATACGACAATTTTCGCAGTTGACTGGTTGAGGTAGCTACTCTATATCTATAACTAATATATGCTCTTTTTTAAAAAAAAATTCTGTTTGCACTCCTTAATATTACCTTTATTTGGACAATTTTTTCCTTTTCTACAAAGTGTTTAATTGGGGGGAGGGGCAGTTTAAGATTTACGGTCTATTTTGCATAAATCGAGAGTTTCATAGCTTGTTTGACTGTCTAGATTTCATGCTTGATCTCTTTTTATTGGGTATGTTATAGCTATTCCTACAGGCTAACACTCTAATATGTTAGGGAATTACTCCGTGCAGTACCTAAGGAGGAAGACCAGGACCCAGAAATATTTGCTAGTGCAGGAGCTGATGACGCTATACGTATATTTATCGAGGATAAGGACAACGAGGTATTGGAAAACCTTCTATATCCCTTATACAGTTTTGTAATTCAGGTGCTTATTATGTTGTGTATAATGTTAATCCCCTAGTGGATCAATTCCAGTGTGCCTTTCAAACTAGTACTATTAGTAATCAATTATATAGCATCTTCAATATACACTGATCTTTCGATCAAGTTTTGAGCTCCGTACTCCAGAACCTCCTCCTATTAACCCAAATTTCTTGTGGGAGCTGGAAGAAGCTGGGGTGTTCTTCTATGCCACTAGGTGTGGGCCCGTCGTCTCCTGCCTTGACATGCAGAATTATCTTTGCTGCCTGTCTTTCATGCTAGACATGCTGCGCCCGTGGATTAGTTGAGATACACACAAACTATCCAAGTGTTCACTATTTTTTTTAAAAAAAAATTATAAAAAAGAAAGAAAGAGAAGATTACAGTAATATCAGAATTAACTCCATAGGACAGAGGCCAATGTAGGATTTCAGCTCTATGGTTTCAACCTTGAACGTTCTCAGCAGTGAAACCCATTATGTTTTAAATTTTTGGGTTCATATTTACTAGTAATTGCAATTTTGATAGACATTTACACATAAATTTATGCTCCACTTCAAAAGTACTTGATTCAAATGAACGCGGGAACTTAAAGCTGCATTCTCCCCTGGCTTTAGGGCAGTTCTTTGATTCTGATTTTGTTCTTCTCGCCAAATCTATCTCAACTTGAATGTCTCGTCATCAGGGTTCTAAGACATACTTTTCCTTATCAACGAGCGTCTTCTAAAGAGGCAACGGTAAATAATTGATATTTCCCTTCATCGTAATTTTTATTTCAATTTCTTTATTCATATATGTGTCATTCATGCTTATGATTATTAGTCTTGGACTAAACATATATATATTTGTATTTTTTTCTTCTCTATGAGCCTTTTTTCATTAAAGTCCACGCTTTATTTGCACTTTTCGCTTAAAGCCCTAGCGGAACTTAGAGCTTTTTTGCATTTTTTGCTTTTGATAACACTGTGTCTGATGACAGGTTGATGGACTTCCATTCAAACTACTTTTGAAGAAGGAGAAGGCTCATGAAACGAATATAAATTCTGTAAAATGGCACTCTGGGGTAAGTCACCGGAATATTATAGTGGTAGGAGTTTGACAGTTGCTTGTTCATCTGTCATTGCTTTAAACTCTGCAATTAGTATGCTACAAAGATGCTTTAAGCTTTGAGCAGAAGCTGAGATCATCTGGAAACTTCTGAGTGTTTTACCGATTAGAGGCGAATTTAGAATTTAAGTTTTATGTGTTCGACCTTTAAGGTTCTTTGCATTGGACTTTAAATTGAATATTTGTTGACCTCAGCTTCTGTTGACAGATATGTAATAAATTATGTTGCTCAGATTATCCAAAAATATTTCAGTACGTGTGTCGCATCCTCCAAAAATGGATAGCTTTTGGACGATCCGACACACACCTCGCGAAATTTTTGAAGAGTCTGTGCAACATATATAGGTGATAAAATATGTGTCAGATCTGACAAATGGTGTTATGTTAGATACTGCAAATTTGCAATGATTGTTGTATGGTTTTTCAAGGAGATGAAATGTTTGTCTTCTGTTTTATACTCAAATATTCAGTCGCGTTGTTTTATATCGAAGACTAGAAGGTTGAATTCACTCTATTATGCTTCCTACCTTTAGTTTGATCAGTATCTGTCTTAATTCGACCTTACCCTTTATTCAAGCATTTTTTTCTTCACTAAATTGCTTGAGGCCTATGTGTTTGCATATTTGAGTTTCTCCTCTATTTCACCAACAAAATTGAAAACAAGATTCTTTTTTGGTCAAAAAAATTCCTCAATGTGTTTACTTTCTTCTATCAATACCTTGCAGGATAAAAGGCGTTTGGCGTCCGCCAGTGATGATGGAACAGTGAAGATATGGGAGTTTGTTTGCCCCTGGCCTGCTGGCCGCATAGATCCATAGTTGATACTGGAAGTGTTGTTATAGTAATTTTGAACATGTTGAAGCCTCAAACTTCTGGAAAACTATCTTCTTTTTTTCTCGAATTCGAGACCTCTGCTAAAGGGTAGAGGCCCCCTATCTATCCGCCACAATCCTTAGTGATATCATTACTACATATTATACTAGCAAAACAAGAGAATAGATCTGCAAATTTTCTCAATAATATTAAAGTTGATACCATCATTTCTGCGGTCAACTTTATTTATCAACTAGTTCTGGAAACGTGCGTTGGACGTTTGTCCCCTACTACTATTGTATAAAATCTGTATAGCGGGTGAAAAGGTCACAATGATTTTCAAACAGAAACAACTCAAACACACTAATTAACTAAAATATATCCTCAAAAAGCAATTTAAAAAAGATGAAGACACTCAACTAATATAAAGGAGAATTCTTCTTGCCTTTATATTACATATCTTAAAATAAAAAAATATTCTAAAGTTTCTTTCATCATTTTCTCCTATAAATTCGAAGTGTTTATTAAATTTATATCCTAAAGGTGGAAGAAATGAAGAATACGGAAATATAATAACCAATTATGAAGTTATATTTGAAAACTCAAAAATATGAAAATATAAAAAAAAACAAAATTTACTTACAATTCCGTATCGATAGAGCTTTCATCTTGATGACAATTTACATATTTCTCAACAAACAGAAGATAAATATGCATGAAATAATAAAGAATACAAATAAATGAATTCGTAAGGATTCTTACAATTACAAATTGGTAATGAGAATTTTACAAATGATGCATATTAACCTAACATAGAGGGCAAGCTGATCACAAATTTGGATGAAAGAAGAAAATATAAATAATGTTGTTGGAGTGTCTTTTTGATAGACTCTTCATTACCCCACTTATTACAAATTAAGATTGAGGGTTATGTTTTAACACTTCGTTAACCACATTTAGTACATGAATACGATTATTGCATTAAGATCCTGTTTGATGCATGAATTTAAATATAATAATAATTATTATTTAATATTTAATTAATTAATTATATATTGATATTTAATTTAATTTAGTGATAAAATAGGGGTAAAATGGTAATCCAACTACGAGGTTAGGAGCTTCCCACTTTTGGTAATATATGATGATGATGTAATAATTCACAGCAAACACGTATCCAAGACTTGAAGATTATGAGTTATGGCAATCCATGCCTAGCCTCCGAATCCACCACTTGTGTACACCCAAAGTTGAAAGACATTAATAGGCCAAGTTTATAGACACATTTATATATTATACCTATTTAATAATACACTTATTCTCTCCGTTCAATTTTAATTGTCATGTTATGCTTTTTAAAAGTCAATTTGACTAACTTTCAATTAGATTTCATTAATTTGATATTTTAAACAAAAAATTTAGATATTAAAAAACTATACGAAAAGTACTATAAATTTAATTTATTGCATATCAAAATGATGAAAAAATACATCGTAAAATGTTTGTCAAAGTTCTTATAGTTTGATTCTGAAAAAGAAAACCATGACAACTAAAAATGGACGCAGGAAGTATTTCTTTATGCTAAATCTACACCAATTTATTTTATACGAGATATAATGTAAAATAAAAGTTTGCATCATTAAATACATCAAACTAGATTGAATGTGTACAAATAGATATACTCATTACCATAATATTACGAGATATAATTTAATATGTTATATACTTTCTCTTCTATGTCCAACAATAGTTGTCTGTTATTGACTTGACACGCCCCTTAAGAAAGATAAATAATAGGGGTAATACTACTATATTATTGTTTGACTTTATTAAGTTTAATGCTTTAAAAAATGCTAGATGATAAATGAGTACTTAATAACAAGGGTAAAATAGACACAAAAGGTAAATTATCTCTTAATTTTCTAAATTGGACAAGTGGACAACTAATTTTAGTATAGTGAACAACTATTTTTGGACAGAGTGAGTATTTATCATAATAAAAAAAAAGTAGTTTTATTAAATATATTTAAAATATAAGAAAACAATCAACACTTAAGGAAAAATTGAACGAATTGTGTTATGACCCTCATTTTAGTTCATTTCAATCCAAGTAACTTTTAGACGGGTCAATAAATCACTCAGTTAGTAACTTACCCCATTTTAACCAGTGCAATTGATGTAGAGGTGGACTTAAAATAGAAAAAGGAAATGACAAATTGGGTGAAATCTGTAATTAACTGAAACTTTTATTTAAAAACTTTAGGGGTGTAACTGTCAGTTCATAAACTAAGTAACTAACTTAATAGGCCCACTTAAGTAACGTATAACTACTCCTTTCTCAGCTCACTGTACAAATCCACTCAAACATCACCAAAATCTGATCAAATTTCCCCAATTTATATTGAGCAGCACAGTCGCTTCGCCGCCACAATTCCGCCGCGATGAAGAATTTCAGCTACGACGATTTTGAACTGAGAGAGATTCAAAAGCTCGAAGGTCACACCGGTAAGGTTTTGGGCATAGCTTGGAAGGTGGATACCGGAGTATGGGGTTTTCTGGCAGTAATGGCATCCTGGAGTGATGATAAAACCGTACGGATCTGGGAAGAGAACTTATCCGGCTTATTTGTGTGTAAGGTTTGATTTCTTTTTTCATTTTCTCAAATTTATCTTTTGGATTAGCTGATTGTGAATAACCGATAAGGTTTTATGTGTTGAAAAACATTTTTAAGTGGTGAAACTGATGTTATAAATAAATAGTTATGTGTTTGAAATAGAAGTTTTGAAATTGTTAACAATAGTTGTGATAAAAAAAATGTTGATAAGATGTTCTTTTGTTAGAATGACTAAAATTCTCTTCTTCTTTTTTTGTTAAAGTAGGTTAGAGTCCTATATTGGTCGGAGAATGGGCATGTGATATGTTTATATGGACTTGGACAATTCTCCCCGATGAGCTAATTTTTAGGATTGAATTGGCGTCTAAGGTCCATTTAACATGATCCATTCCTATTTGGGCTTCTGTTACACGCTCCAGTTGGACCCGGGCGTGAAGAGGGGTGTTAACGTGGGCTAAAGTCTCATGTTGGTTGGAAACTGGACTAGTGATATGCCTATATTGACTTGAGTAATCGTCCCCTTATGAGCTAGATTTTGGGGTTGTGTTAGGTTGAGTTCCATTTAACAATTTTCTAGCAAGAGGGTGTCTTATTAAACTTATAAGCTAGTCAAATTGACTTATACATATTTTTTAGCTTATCTATGCATTTGGTTAACCCCATTTCCTTATAAGAATTGTTTTCCTTTAAGTTCCTTCCCTAGCACTCTTTCCATGCTCAAGAAAATATAGTGGCTCATTCTCTAGCTACAATGACTATTTGAACCTATACATAAAAAAGAGCTGTAATAACTCTTAGAAGGAAATTTTGCAGGCTGTTTTGGAGGCATCATCTACTGTTAGATCGTGTGCCTGGTCACTGGAATACAATTTGTTGGCAGCAGGTTGCTCTGATGCCACCACTGTCATTTGGAAAAATGTCGGTGATCATGCCTATGAGCGTATCTACACTTTAAAGGTACAATGACTTTGTGAGACTATCAGAGAGTTAACTCTCTGTAATTATTGCAACATACAAACTTCAAAGATCTATCAGCAGTTCAGCACTCAGCAGAATACGGGAATGTGTTCCTACGGAGTTCATTTTGATTTAGCTTATAATTGATTTGTGTTCCTAATTTGGATGAACTTATATATTTAGGATTTTTTTTTCATTTTCTTTAATAAGTTATAAATCTACAAAATCCTGTCTGCTTTCTTATTTTCAATATGTGGATAATGTCCAGGGTCATGAGAATGAAGTGAGAAGTGTTTCCTGGGATATGGTCGGGCTACTGCTTGCGACATGTGGAGGTGATAAGTCAATTTGGATATGGGAAGCTTTGCCTGGAAATGAGTTTGATTGTGCTTCAGTGTTACAAGGAAACACAGAAGATGTTAAGATAGTTCAATGGGATGATAATAATGCTTTATTCTCCGTTAGTAGTGATAACACCATTAAGGTATATTTGAGAGGTTCAACTGCACATTCTCTCTGTGTGTGCATGTGTTATTTGCTTATAAAGAGTTTAGCATGCTTTTCATACCCTTATTACATGTAACATAGAATCGGTAGTCAACACATTTCTCTTCTTTTTCTTTTAATGAGGGCAGGGGCAGAGTAAAGGGATTTGAACCTTCATCAGTGATATTATCTAATCTCTAGTGGTGCTTGAAAACTTTAGGTTTGGAAAGAGACAAGTTATAACAGTGGTGATTGGCGTTGTATTAAAACTTTGGGTGAGTCTGACAGGTAAGAATTATTATTTGGCAGTATATTTTTCATTTTGTTATATCTAGATAGTGTATAAGTGTATCTTATATCCTGAAAAACCTTCCATTGTGTGACTATTTGGAACATTCATGTAACAGTCATAGGTCGGATTTTAGTTCTAGAGATTTTTGTGTGAAGTGTTTCACTCATCCTACTAACAGTGAAAAGTGGTCTATAATTTTCTGGATAGTCCAAGCAACGTAGGACAACAGTAATTTATAAAAAAATCAAAATTAAAGGCAAAAGCAAACTTCTACTGTTTGAAAGTAATTTTTCAACAAACACTTTCCAAAATAAGTTGATTTTGAAAGCTTGACCAAGAATGCTATCAGTAACGTCGTTTAAGATTGTTTAGGAGCTTATACCACTACATGGTTGAACTTTCAGAGAACATACTTCTGCTGTGCTGTCTCTCTCTTTCAGTAAAGATAGAAGAAGAATGGTATCTTGCAGGTATGGCTTTCTCTCTGCTGAATTCGTTTTAAAATACACTCTTAAGTCTAGGGTGCATCTTAACTAGGATAGTTGTTGTAGTCACTACTAAACAGATTTTACATTGAATTCCCTAACTTGCAGTGATGGCCTTACCATCAAGATATATTGTGATCGTGATTATACAGAACTTTGGTAAGCCCAGTCTTATCCTTATTTTCATAAGCATAATGCAATCCTATAAAGTTGATTTATGTGATCCTATGGGAGAGTGTCCCTCATTGATTGCGAAGAGCTTTTTCTTTTTTTTCGCTCTATTAACAATTACCTTTCTAGTGGGCTAGTAAAGAGTAAAAAAGAAGAATTGCCACACGTGCACATGAGAACTTGGACACAAGGCAAAATGGTTGATTTCCTCCCTCCCACCCCAACCCTGGGGCACAAGGCCTGATCCAAGTCGCATTTTGAATCCTGAGGAATTGTCTGATCTCCATAATTATTCTATTAAGTTAGCACACTGAAATGTTTGCAACCACTGGTAAACGGAGCAGAACGCTCTAAGAAGCCATCCATGTTTATCCCCTTGGTCAATGTAAGCCTCCAGATGCCTCCAAGCAAACAAAGGTTTTTTCAGGGTTATCGGCGCGCATCCAACCTTCGTTCTGTGACATCAGCGGTGGTGCCCCGAAATCCCTAGTATATGAAAGAGTAAAAAGGGTTTTTCGTTGTTGTGGAATAAGAAGCCTTTGCATCTTAATGCACATATTTTTATTTTTTCCAATAGAAAAGAGGGTGCAGGTGTTGGAAATCTTACGGAAATACTTCTCCACGAACGCTTATAGGAAATTCTCCATAGCTTGAGGCATGTCGTAAGACACTGTCCCTAAGGATATTTCACCCAGTATAGGTGTATCCCCCAGGATACAACAAGTTCTTCTAGTATTAAACTAGGAGCCAGAAACTAACAAAGATTTTTAAAACGAAAATCCAGCACTACAAAGTATGGGAGGAAGAATTAAGAGAAAAGATTATTATTCTTGTTCCACGACTTCAATATATAAGTGGAAGAATATAAAATATTGTAGAAGAAAATGGACATCTCTCTCCCTCCTTAATCCCACAGATGACAAAGGACTTACTTAGTGAAGATATGAGCTTCCTAGTATGTAGCCGTTTAGGAATAATGGCATTGGTAAAGCCATTCAATTTCTATTCAAGGCTGGCCATTAAATGGCCAAATAAATTTGAACAAATCAATGTCTGTTAATGAAGGAATTAAAGGCTTATAAATGGATTTAATATGGTCACAAAATAGTGTTGAAAAGTTCTCAAACATGAATATTGTGTATTTGAGATATTTATATTGTTTTTCCAACATCAAGTCCTTTTGAACATCATTTTGATGCATTCAAATGGACAATTATTTTTGTTCACTTAAGAGACCACATTTATTGCTTTGTTTATTTTGTCGTTCCTCAGACAAAGAGTGGTCTTCATTAATTTAGTCAAATATCTTTGCTATAATAGTTCTCAGCGATAACTATGTTTCCCAAGCCGAGGGTCAGCGATAACTATCTTTGAGGTAGGAGTAAGGTTTGGATACACTATACCCTCCCAAGACTCCACTTTGTAGGACTACAATGGGTATATGTTGCTGTAATTACTATGTTTTCCAATTCCTGATTTGCTACCATCTCCTTTTTGTGCTTGTTAGGTCACATATTTGCACTCTATCTGGATATCATGATACGACAATTTTCGCAGTTGACTGGTTGAGGTAGCTACTCTATATCTATAACTAATTTATGCTCTTTTTTTTTAAAAAAAAATTCTGTTTGCACTCCTTAATATTACCTTTATTTGGACAATTTTTTCCTTTTCTACAAAGTGTTTAATTGGGGGGAGGGGCAATTTAAGATTTACGGTCTATTTTGCATAAATCGAGAGTTTCATAGCTTGTTTGACTGTCTAGATTTCATGTTTGATCTCTTTTTATTGGGTATGTTATAGCTATTCCTACAGGCTAACATTGGATATTCTAATATGTTAGGGAATTACTCCGTTGGGTACCTGAGGAGGAAGACCAGGACCCAGAAATATATGCTAGTGCAGGAGCTGATGACGCTATACATATATTTATCGAGGACAAGGACAATGAGGTATTGGAAAACCTTCTATATCCCTTGTACAGTTTTATAATTCAGGTGCTTATTATGTTGTGTATAATGTTAATCCCCTAGCGGATCAACTCCAATGTGCCTTTCAAACTAGTACTATTAGTAATCAATTATATAGCTTCTTCAATATACACTGATCTTTCGATCAAGTTTTGAGCTCCGTACTCCAAAACCTTCCTCCTATTAACCCAAATTTCTTGTGGGAGCTGGAAGAATCTGGGGTGTTCTTCTATGCCACTAGGTGTGGGCCCGTCGTCTCCAGCCTTGACATGCAGAATTATCTTTGCTGCCTGTATTTCATGCTAGACATGCTGCGCCCGTGGATTAGTTGAGATACTCACAAACTGTCCCAGTGTTCACTATTTTTTTTTAAAAAAATTTAGAAAAAAGAAAGAAAGAGAAGATTACAATAATATCAAAATTAACTGCTTAGGACAGAGGCCAATTTAAGATTTAAGCTCTATGGTTTCAACCTTTAACATTCTCAGCAATGAAACACATTATGTTTTAAATTTATGGGTTCATATTTACTAGTAATTGCAATTTTGATGGACATTTACACATAAATTTATGCTCCACTTCAAAAGTACTTGATTCAAATGAACCCGGGAACTTAAAGCTGCATTCTCCCCTGGCTTTAGGACAGTTCTTTGATTCTGATTTTGTTCTTCTCGCCAAATCTCTCTCAACTTGAATGTCTCGTTATCTGGGTTCTAAGACATACTTTTCCTTATCAATGAGCGTCTTCTAAAGAGGCAACACTAAATAATTGATGTTTCACTTCTTCGTAATTTTTATTTCAATTTCTTTATTCATATATGTGTCATTCATGCTTATGATTATTAGTCTTGGACTAAACACATATATTTGTATTTTTTTCTTCTCTATGAGCCTTTTTTCATTTAAGTCCACGCTTTATTTGCACTTTTCGCTTAAAGCCCTAGCGGAACTTAGAGCTTTTTTGCGTTTTTTGCTCTTGATAACACTAGTCTGATGACAGGTTGATGGACTTTCATTTAAACAACTTTTGAAGAAGGAGAAGGCTCATGAAACGAACATAAATTCTGTAAAATGGCACTCTGGGGTAAGTCACCGGTATACCATAGTGATAGGATTTTGACCTTTACTTGTTCATCTGTCATTGCTTTAAACTCTGCAATTAGTATGCTACAAAGATGCTTTAAGCTTTGAGCAGAAGCTGAGATCATCTGGAAACTTCTGAGCGTTTTACCGATCATAGGCAATTCAGAATTTAAGTTTTATGTGTTCGATCTTTAAGGTTCTTAGCGTTGGGACTTTAAAATGAATATTTGTTGACCTCAGCTTCTGTTGACAGATATGTAATAAACTATGTTGCTCGGATTATCCAAAAATATTTCCATACGTGTGTCGCATCCTCCAAAAATGCATAGCTTTTGGACGATCCGACACACACCTCGCGAAATTTTTGAAGAGTCTGTGCAACATATATAGGTGATAAAATATGTGTCAGATCTGACAAATGGTGTTATGTTAGATACTGCAAATTTGCAATGATTGTTGAATGGTTTTTCAAGATCTTTGTCTCCTGTTTTATACTCAAATATTCAGTCGTGTTGTTTTGTATCGAAGACTAGAAGGTTGAATTCACTCTATCATGCTTACCATCTTTAGTTGGATCGGTATTTGTCTTAATTCGACCCTACCCTTTATTCAAGCATTTTTTTCTTCACCAAATTGCTCTAGGCCTATGTGTTTGGGTATTTGAGTTTCTCCTCTATTTCACTAACAAAATTGAAAACAAGATTCTTTTTTGGTCAAATAAATTCCTCAATGTGTTTACTTTCTTCTATCAATACCTTGCAGGATAAAAGGCGTTTGGCGTCCGCCAGTGATGATGGAACAGTGAAGATATGGGAGTTTGTTTGCCCCTGGCCTGCTGGCCGCATAGATCCATAGTTGATACTGGAAGTGTTGTTATAGTAATTTTGAGCCTGTTGATGCCTCAAACTTCTGGAAAACTATTTATTTTCTCGAATTCAAGATCTCTTCTTAAGGGCAGAGGGACTCTATCTATCCACCACAATCCTTAGTGATATCATTATTACATATTATATTAGAAAAATAAGAGAATATATGTGCAAAGTTGATACCATCATTTCTGCTGTCAACATTTTTATCAATGATGTAGGACTGTAGAAGCATAATTCATAGCAAACGCGTATCCAAGATTTGAAGTTTATGAGTTCTGGCAATCCATGGCTAGCCTCCGAATCCACTTCTTATATATGCTACTGTATTCACATTTGGTTGTATATACGTATTGTGGATTTCTCAACACATTATACAAGTTTTGAGCCAAAGCTACCGAGTGATACCCTCCCCTAATTCACAGTAATTTTGAGCCTTATGACTACTATCCTTTCCCCCCTTCTTATAGGCAGTCTAATTCATATTTAGTAATATCACTACTATGAATTGTACTAGAGAATTAAAAGAAGACATAATGGTTAAAAATACACATGAACTGTTATTTTTTCGCGAGTTTTGTTCTTTTTTTCTACTTGAACTATCACCATATATATAGTAAAACACATCTCAACTATCTTTCTTTCTTTTTTCTACCTGAACGATGGTGATAGTTCAGGTAGAAAAAGGGAACAACTGATAATTTAGTGTGTTTTAATACAGAATATGGACTATGGTGATAGTTCAACTAGAAAAAAAGGAATAACCGTTAGCTAAAGTGTGAAGCTCGTGAAAAAATCGATAGTTCAATGTGGTTTTTACCATTAAATCTAAAAAGAATAAATTGCAAATTTCTAAAGAACTTATTAAAGCTGGGACCATCTTTTTTTGTCTGGGTTCATTATTACTGTATGATATTCTTATGCACGCATGCTGTATAACAAGTTGGATTTTAGCATATATGGATGCATCTCTCAAATAGCCACATTATGTGATCTATGTTACATGTTGAAATTCTGTTTTGGCTTTTTCTCACCTTCTTATTATTATGGTTTTCCATTGGTGTTTCCACCTCGTTTTGAGACCACTTTAGATTCGTATCGAAAAGTTCTACTTTGAAAATAAAGTGCTCACGATCGGTGGCAATCCAAGAGATTCAACATATATTATATGTACATAAAAAGATTGACATATCTACATAATATAATTTTCGATGGTTAGTTCCAATCCCTATTTCTTTTTCCTTATTTTGACTTTACAAAAAGAAAAAAAATCATTTTCCTTCCTTGGAAAAATTAGGGTACATGTGAAAAACAAAAAAAAAGACGTTTACTGGTCCTCAAGTTGTCAGCTTGTGGGGCGGGGAAAGGAACGCGTCATGATAAAACAAGAGAATGAAAAGTCGTTTTTAAGCTAAAAATTCTTCAGAACTTATTAATTGATCGATGTGATCCTTAATTATAGATTGATTAGGTCATGATCTTTCAATTAAGTTATCAATATAATAAGATAGTGGACTAGTCACTTTTCAACTTTATAATTGAAAAATGGTTATTATTTTCGAATTTCACATTTTTATAAGTCCAATTCCATAGCAATATCAAAGAATTTTCAGGATAGTAACTATTTTTCAATTATACGAAATGAAAAGGTGATTTCATGTGAATTTTCACATACAATAAAATAGATGCTTGTATTGATCGTAAGAATAGAGTTCCGTGACCATTTTTCGGCATTATCTTTGAAAAATAACATAGTTATAAAATTTCAAATTTAATAAATAAAAATAATATTTTAAATACATGAGCTGAAAAGTGACTAATCGTGAATTTACCATTATTGCTCTGTGGCTTTTACCCCTTTCCCCCCTCCAATTTTTTTTTTTAGAAAAAGGAAAATATATAAGTCCTACTAATATCCAACTAAAGTATATTCAACTTTCAATTAATAAAAAATATATACTATTATTTCATATTTGATGGTAATAGAATTCTAAAATAAAATTCAAAATAGCATATTTTCACATAAAGGAATCACATGAATCGAAATAAGAATTTACCTATAATTCAGGGACCAAAAGTGCTATTATCCCCAACCATAAACATATGTATTTCTTCAATGTATTAACATGGAAACACACAATTATTATGATAATAAAAATAATAAAACAGTTCAGTTAAAGAGTAAAAAAAAAAACCCCAAAAAAATAAACATCAGAATAAAATAAAAATGCAAAAAAAAAAAAAAAAACTCATCTTTTTTTTTTTGGAGCATATTTTCAATAGCTATTTTCAATTCTCAATCTGCAAGATGAATTTGTTCTTCTTTCTTCAACCAAAGCAGCTCTAGCTGACATTATATTATTATTATTCATCAATTTTGAATCAAATGCACTACAATCAATCCAATCTTTGAGTAATTCCTCTTGTCCCCAAATTTCTGGTATCCATACATGTCCTGCCACTGCAATTCTATGTCTCTTCAATCTTTCACGTCCACTATCCTCTGTCCTCATCGACCCGCCCTCTTTATGTGCACTAGCATGTCCCACGTGCACATTGATCATGTCTGACATAGTTTCTGCATCGTTGAATTTTTCTTGATCACGCTTAATCGTGACGTTGTTTTTCTTTACTAGTAAATTATTAGTCCTTGTTGACTCAACCTTGTCATTGTTAGGATCGGGGCGTCTTGAGGGATGTATAGAAAAAAATGATGGATTTTCACGTTTGTTCGTCATAATGAACGTATCGTTGAATTTATGTTGTTGGTATTGAATGAATTTGAAGCAAATTGTAGAAGGAAGATTTTTTATTATTTTTTTTGGTTTGACTAGTCTCCAAACTATAGTATTGGAGCTAGCCAAGAGGGAGAAATGATGGTTTTATTGTGGTCTACAAACTATAGTGTAAGAGAGAGAATATATTCTTGTGTTGGAGAAGAATGCAATATGAGGGGATTTATTAGTATTAATATTTTGTGAGGGGGGGGGGGGAGGGGGGTGAGGGGCAAAGATTTGTACTTAATATTGTGTGTAGGGGAAAGGTGCAAGGATTTGTAATGGAAAAAAAAATCGTTTGATATCTGATATCTACATTGAAATTTAATTGATTAAATTCAGATTCACATAATAAAAAAATCATTTTTAGAAGTAATATTTTCCATAAAAATAATTTCATATTCAGAATTCGAACACAAAACTTCTGATTATAACATCATGACCACAAAATATTGTTTTTTTTTTATGGCAAGTGAGAATAAATAGTACATGTCTTTTGTGTGGAAATTTTGATGCTCAAATTTGTGTGGTTAACTTCAATTCTTTTTTTATAAAAAAAAAAATACTATTTACCAAAAAGAGAATGGACAAAGATAGGCCTCTTATTAAACAACCAAGAGGCATACAGTGATTGGTCAGTTGATTTTTGGAGGATTCTGAGGTTGACATTGATTTTTGAGTGCATGTAGGGTAGAGTTGTCAACAAAGGCGTTCTAGTGCGTTATAGATTTTAGCCAATAAAAATAAAGAATATGATATCGAAGATTCTGAGGTGAATGTAACTTTACTACATTAAAATCATATAAATTACTATGTATTTTAAAGGGATAAGAGTCTGAAAAATACTCCAATTTTGATTGAATTTATTGTTGCGATACTAAACTTTCATGAGGACCTATTACCTCCCTAGACTATTTAATACCATATTTTAAACATATATATTTGCCCACGTGGACATAAAAAATAATGGAAAATTATAAATAGTAAGGTGTCCACGTGAGCACATATATACCTTTAAAATACACTATTAAATAGTTCAGGGGGTAAAAAATACGGTATTAAATAGTCTAGAGAGGTAATAGGTCCTCATGAAAGTTTAGTATCGCAACAACAAATCCGACCAAAGTTGGGGTATTTTTCAGACCCTTATCCCTATTTTAAACATTGAAATGTAAACTCATGTGTAAAAGTATGTTAAACTTGATTAATAGACTTTTGGAGGATTGTGAGGTCTGATATCAATTTTTCGATGTGGGGGTAGGGGGTGGAGAAGTAAAATTATTTCTAAGTTTTTTGATCAATGAAATATAATTTGATATAGAAATTTTAAGAGGTGGATATATCTTTATGGCATAGATTTATATGAATTCAGTATTTTTTATATGAAACGTAAATTTATGTATAAAATTTATCAAATTAAATTAGTAAATTTAATTTTTCGAGTATGGTGAGGCTGACATTGATTTTTGAGTGGGGATGAGGAATATATTGAGTTGTTTCAAAGTTTTTTGGCCAATGAAAATATATAATTTTATATACGAGACTCAAAGGTACATGTAACTTTGCGATGTCAATTCATAGAATTAAATATTTCTAACGCAAAACATAAATCTAGGAGCAAAATTTTACTAGATTTTGGCCAGTGGGTTTTTGAAGGATTGTGAGGTTGACATTGATTTTTGTTGTGTGTAGAGGGTGGGGTAGGGAATAGAATTATTTCTAAGTTTATTGGTCATATCTAGAATGAATCGCGGATACAATATTATGATATTGAATTTATATGAATATAACTTTTTTAACATGAAATATAAATTCATAAACTAACAAATAACAAGTAAGAATGCATAATTTTATAAATTTAACACTTAAAATTTTAAAATAAATGATTTTAAAATTTAAATTTTAAATCTGTCTCGAGAAATATGTGATGTGTGTGATTCACAGCTATAGGTGTTGATCGTGTGGTAGTTGTATCAATCATTTAATGAGATGGAGACTAGTTTGGAAGGGTGTGTGAGAAGATATTTTTTTAATATAAAAAATTCACTCTGCTTTTACCTTGATTAGTATTGGTTAATTATTGATATTCAGAATCAACTATATGATCTAATTGATTTAAATTCGCGTTATATAAAATTTATCAAAGCCTAATTGCTTTCTAACTTAAAATTCTTCTATCTTTCTTATCGAAGATAGAAGAATTTTATTGTTTCCACCACATTTGGAGATGAGCTATTGTACGATTAAAAAATCATGTTTTTTTATGGAATAAATTCTACCAACTGAAAGTAATATATTACTTGTAATAATTTCAACCTGTATTTCTTATCTTTTTATAATAAAATCATTTTCTATGACTAGTTACAACTAAACTAGACAAAAATAATTTTATAAAAATCTTCTATTTTTCATTTATGTCGTTTCATCGAGCTTCTAAAAATATATTATACAAATTAAAATTAATTATTTGATGTGTCATATAACCGGATCTTTCCTTCTTCTTTTTACACGAAAAAACATTTTTAATTATTCACTTTGTCTGTATCAACTCAACTAATGATATGGCATGTAAAAATAATAATTTTGTACCCTAAAAAACAAAATATTCTTGTCATTTTAGTTTTTGTATGTACCATTTTGGATTTTCAAATCAATTTCAACATCATAATAGTGAAAAAACTATCCAACTAAAAACAAGAAAAATAACATAAAAGGAAAAATTAATTTATTTATTTTTAGTAAGAGAAAGATCAACATTTACAATAAATCTTTTTTTATTTTTTATTTATTTTGAAATTTGATTATCCGACCTTCGCTGAAAAGCCTTTGAAGAATAAAGCAGAGTTTCCATTCTCAAAATTTAAATCCAAAACGATGAAATATAACATGTACTTACCATCTCATCACGATCCTAGAAGAATAACCAGCTGTGTAGATTCTTTTTTTTTTTCCTCTTTTAATCTTGGATTTTGTACCAAGAAATTAATTTTTATTTTTATTTTTTTGGTTTTTTGTGAGGGTCACCACTTTTCTTTGTCAAGTCATTGCACTACTATGCATCCCACATGGGCTTGTCCATAATTGTGGGCCTATTATCAAATTGTCACATCAAATATTCATAGTTTTTAGAATTTACATCTCTATATATACTTTTTTCGATTTTCATTCGTGGTTCAGTATTCATATTAAAATTTCACTAAGTCCGAATAAGTATATTGCAAGGTTAATTTCTAATAATAGCACTCCTAACTCAAGATCTCTAATTAAAAATAAAAGAATTTCAATCATCTGATCATAAGTCACGTCGAAACATTTTTATATATTATATAATATGTATACATAAGAATAAGTTTGTGTTGTCATGTCAAAGCCACTTGTGGAAATTGAAAAGACAAGTATAAATTCTTTTTTTTCATTTTTTTTTGGGTCAATTTTGTAAAAGTTTGAGTTTGACATAATATATAAATAAACACATCCCAACGGACTTAAATACTTCAATTTTGAGAATGCATATTTAGTCATCACAATCCATCTCGTGAACACTCAACGTTAATGTGACACATAAATTTTAAAAGTATCTAGCTGATCATTTTATAAGTTGGAATGTTCAATTGATAGACGATTTTAAATGTCTATGAAGTGAATTGAAATATTTAGTAGTAAATTAAAACTAAATTTTAGTGTCCGTGTGTTATGCTTCAAATTCTACTATGTCTAGATTAATGATATAGACTGCGAGTCAATTCAAATATTTGAGATATTTTCCTTTGAATAAGACCTTAAATTCAGCGACGATTTCAATAGATACATTGGATACAAATAAACTTATCAATCATCTCCCCTTTCATGTAATTAATCTATATTATAAAGAAAAAATGACCGATTAACCAACCAACGAAGAAAAGTAAAAATCTTCTTGGTGCATCTAAAGTTTCTCTTCTCGATGAGATTGATATTGATGATGGTGACAATACCATCAATAAACAATCACAAACCTAATTTGAAGCTAGAACCGCGAACTAGAAATGAACTAACTATAAATATGAAAATAAATTTCAGATCACCCTTTGAATCGACAATCTATTCTAAGTAAGACAAAATTTTGGATTTGACAAAAGAGTCCTCCAAATATTTTGGTCTTACACCCAATGTGATAAGCCAGAGTGTACACAGACCTTACCCCTACCATTGCCAAAAAGATGTTAAATACTTATCCACGCGGGGTGTAAGCTGATGAACAAGTTCAAAACTGATCCTAAATCACATATATGTGCAAAAGTTCATCTCCAGATATCAACTTTACAGCAACATTTTACAGATCACAAGGTGAAACCAGACTGATTGTGCTCCTAATTGTCTACCTTTGATAGTATCTCCAGCTTATTACACTCACTAGCAAACTAACATGTATAGGCACGATACATTATTATTAAGAAAAACGAGATGGACAATGGTTTTTCCATGAGATAAACTTGATGCATAACCAAGATCCTGTACGTATAGCGCATATGTATCACTTTGAAAGATAGAGATGGAACTCTGTGGAGAACAAGAAGAAAAAGGGAAGTACTATACATGCAGGAAAATGAAGGACTAACTTAAGCTCTTGGATAGCGCGATCGTCCTTTTTTCCTGAGGAACTCAGGAATTTCCACTGAACCACCTTCCAAAAAGGACGCAGGTCGTCTGTTAGTTCCAAGTGAAGCATCTCCCTGTGTTAGTTGGTTTCCCTGTTAGTCGAACATCGTGGAATGTGTATCATAAAATGATCGTCAAAACCAAAGATTTTCACATGTAGTGTAGATGTGAAGGGAGAGGGTGGAAGAGAGGAATACCTGAAGGGGCCTCATATCACTTTCTTCTTGGCGTTTGAAACCAGTGGCAATTAGCGTTATGCTGACCTGCATCACATGGATAATGATGAGACTGACCATGCTGCAAAATGTAAATTCGACGGAAGTCCAATTGAACTTCTACGCCTCAATACCATTGAGACAAATCAGAGATGTAAACAAGTTCTCCAAGTCTCATCTTAACCCTACACTAACATACAAACCCAATAACTTGGGGGGGGGGGGGGGGGGGGGG